CCACTCAACTCGTTAAAAACGATAAACAATTTTACATATTCGAAAATTTTGATTTTGTGATTTATACCTACTTTATTTTTTAATCTATAGTTCAATGCCCAAATATTTCTAGATACGGCCATTTTTGCTATATTTATTTATTTTATTATTTTAGTTTTTTAATTATACATTTCTTTAAGCACAAAAGTTAAGACTGGCTAAGTTATATCTTTAGAAATTACACAAATACCCTTTTCTGTATTTTTAATTTTTTTTCAGTAATGTTCATCTTTTACAAGGCCCAAGAGCCACTCTAGGTAAAGGGTTACAGATTAAGAGGCACCGTTTATGGGGATATGTGAGGAAGAAAACAGATAGCCCTTGACCTGAACAGGTTAAGATTGTAGTGATCATGAAAACATCCTCTTGGGAGTCTGTTCCACAGAGCAGTGGTTCATGGGAAGAAGCTGTTAAAGTGGAAATTACTTCTCATCACTGGAATACGGAGGAAATGTGGGTGGTTTGCTACTATGTAAGTGGCATGGTGTGTCCTTGTCGTGGAGGTTTGAACTGTCAGACCAGAGAATGTAGGTCATCCAAAAACTTTCCGTGGAATTAGCGATAGAGCAGCAAGAGGTTTGCCACGTCCTGCCTGTGGAAGAGAGTTTGAAAGGTGGAGAATAATTTGTCACCGCAAGGGTTTGGAAATGTTTTTGGGCTCTATCAAGGCTGGAGAGTGAGTTCTGAGCAGCTCCCACTGAAATATGACAATGGTAACCCATTTTTGGCTTGATTTGGCTCTTGTAAAGGTAGAAGATAGCAGTAGGATTCAGGTACTTACTGGAGCAGTACAGGGAGCTGACCATTTTACCTGCATCCTTAGCAATGGATCGTATATACAAGTTCTGCTTGAGGTCAGATGCAAGTTTGAAGCTCTTTCAAGCTCTTTCAAGGCATGATAACTCCGTGAGGGCACATCTGTTCATCATGACTGGTGTTAGTTGGTGGTCCAGTAAGTAATGATGGAATGTAACTAGTTTGGTTTTTGAGGCATTGAATACAACCAGCCAGTTTTTACTTCACTGGCTACTGGGCCTTAATATATAAATGGACTAAGGTGGGGAGGTCCCTTGAGGCTTGCTCAATTCTGTAAGTAATTGGAAATATGATTAACATGTGATTATGAAATACATCACCTGGAAAAATTTCATGGTTTTCTTATTTTAATTTTTTGATGTATGTGTAATGAATAAATAAGCTCATTGCAAGTTCCACAACTATAAAATACCCATAGAAATTCCCATTTTGCATCCAGGGCCAGTGTTAGGGTTTTGTACCCTTCTCCTATGAAACTTTGATAAGGGGCTCCCTCTCTATATGTCGATTTCAAACATTCCCACCTGGGTGCCACAAACCCTTGAAGGAAAATTTTTTTTGTGGGAAAGGGCAACTTTCAATACATATTCATTATTTACTTTTATAATGAAGAGTTTTTTTTTATTTTAAAAAATCTGAGAAAATGTTATTCTTTTTGTAATAACCACCAATAATTTCATGACTAAATTTTAACTCAAAAAAATGTTTAAGTCACAGATTTTTACATTTCCATAAAGATTAATCACTGATGCATCTCTGCTGAAAAAAGTTTTACAATGATTCCAACACAACACAAATGGGATTCTCTTAAAAATTTATTGTAAAAGTAGTATTTCAATTTTTGGGAAAATTTTTCATGTGTTGAAATCTTTAAACTTTTTTTATTTTTAAGCAATCATTTTCTTGATTTTATCTTTCTAGAAATGTAAAAAATAGGGACTAGAAATTTTATTTTAATTACTAGCCATGGAATTCTGGTTAGTACTACTATTATGAAAATAAAAAACCTCTTTAGTAGATGATCTTGGAATAAAAAAGGATTTTACCAAGATATATTATCTTTTTAATTGATTTAAAAGAACTGTTCAGAAAGAAAATTACAATTTAAAAAATAAGCGCCACCGAAATTAGCACTTCTGCCTCAACTGCCTTCCCCAGTAGGCATGGAGTCCCCATGCAGTTGAGAAGTTCAGGGTAGTAAGCACCGGCCCTGTTGATTATTATAGTTGAGGACTGAACTCGTCATGAGTTCCTGTGTAGTACACACCACAATGGACTTGCAGATACAAAATGTATATTATCAGTTGATGACTGACAAGGTAACATCAGTTTAAAAATAATTTTAAAAAATGGCAGGGCCCAAAAAATGATCCCCCCCACCCATCAGGTTGGTGGTTTCAGAGGTAAGATGCACCAGCTCTGATTGCATCATTAAATATTTGAGCTTGCCAACTTTAACCAAATATTGCAGTAACAATCATAAGTATGAATGATTTAGTAAATGCTACTTTAATTAAAAAAGAAAGCAATTTATTAAGACAAAGGTTTATAGAAAGTGCTTTATCCACATCCATAGTAAATTTGCATCCAGTTTCTTACAACATTACCTTTTTTGGCAGATCTTCTATTATCACAATATGGGAAATTTAATAACGAAAATAATAAACACTATTTACATTATTCGGACTATTGTCCTCATCTTTGTTGCCATATCACAGTGTTCTGGCCATTGTATGCTCCAGCCTTCTTCAGATAGTTGGAATGTTGAATGTTGAATATCTCACTCACTGGTAGTAGACTGTTCTAGTTCCACATGCTATATCCTGAGCTGACCAAGCATAGAAATGAATATAATATGGGAATCAGTAATAAGGAGTGCCAAAGAAAAGCAATAATAACAACAAAAATTGCAATTTTTTTGAGCTCTGGTAAAAATGGTTGCTGAAGACATTAAGTTAATAAATCCCAGAAATTCATACACAGATGTCCTTAAGGACACATGGCACAGTGGATAAAGGCGTTGGTTAGATCCAGTGACAGGAACCAAAGAGTTGTAAGTTCAATACCTGGTTAAGCTACTGGAGAACTTGGAGAGATGAATTAACAGGAGATAACTAATAACTGACATTAATTAGACATGGCACATGGAACTAGAACAGTAATTAGTGTACATAATACCTCATCTCAGAAATATACACAGATACGAAAATAATAAAAACAAAAGAAACTAAATGAAAATTGGACAGACTATATACCCAAAACAGATATTTCAACGTCCATCATGTGTATGACAAAAGAAATAAAATAAAGTAAAGGGAATGACAGAAGATCAAGAAAGTTTTATAGTAAACAGAAAATGTTTTATTTTAATTTTATTGATTTGATCAGTGGCTAAAATGGGAAAATCATAAAGGTTTACGAGTAAGAAGTTAGAAATACTTCAAAATAACTTTAGTCAGTAGTTTCTGGGGTTTTGTGGTATAGTTTACATGTCATGTCAGCTAACGGTAGTAAATAGACTGCTCTGAAGCAGATTACTGCAGAAACTGACTTTGCCAGTCAACTTGCTTAATTTTAGTGCCAACCAATGAATACAAATACCCAGATGAAAGACCTCCACTTGTAAAGTCATCCGACCACGTCAAATGACCCAGAACTCAGAGAAGTTTCATTTATAAAGATAAATTCCATTAACAACATCACTTTAGTCCAATAAAATACTAAAAGATGAAACATGTCACATGAAAAGTTTTTTTTTTCACTTTGTCATTGATTTTCCTAACATTGTTCTGGTACATAAAACTGATATATCTTTTCCTCACATATCTCTTGGTTTGTTTTTCTCTACCGTCATTTCCTTTTTTTCCCCTTACATTTCCTCCTTTCAGTTTTCTTTATACCCCACCTCCTCTCCTTCTTCTATGTTTCATATTCCTTCAGAACGTGGACGATCATGGCTCTCCACAACTTCCTGTCCTTTGTAGTTCTTAGCAATGTTTGTCTTTTTGCTATCCCTCCTAATCTCTCCTCTGCCATCCATTCATACAAGTCAATTAAGTAGGTTACTTGCGTTTATTAACAGCCCCAATTGCCTTCAATATTTCCTGTGAGTGTTGAATTTTCTAAGTCTTCTTTTCTCATTATTCATCCTAGAAATTTCAACTGTCTCTTTTTGATTCTAAGTATTATTTGCTTCCATTTTCCTTAAAACTTCTGTATTACTCACGTCTTCCATCCATTTGTTATTTGTTACTACCATCTTCATATTTTTCTTCTATGTGCTATGTTCTTTCAGGATGTGGGCCATCATGGTTTTTCACATTTTCTTTTATCTGATATATATATATATATATATATATATATATATATATAGTTTATATAATTTTCTATAACGTGCTATATATAGTTTACATAATTTTCTATAATGTGCTATATATAGTTTATATAATTTTACTATAATCTGCTATATATAGTTTATATAATTTTCTATAATCTGATATATATATATATATATATATATATATATATATATAATTTTCTATAATCTGCTATATATAGTTTACATAATTTTCTATAATGTGCTATATATAGTTTATATAATTTTCTATAATCTGATATATATAGTTCATATAATTTTTTACTATCACTATTAACTGAATTACTCTGGTTTTTAAAAAAAATTGTTTCCAAATTTTAATTTTTCCTTTGAAACTCATTTGGCAATGATATATATTTTGCTATTAATTGTATTTTTTTCTCTAGCTCTCATTCTGACACCAAATGGAAAAAATATAAATGTAGTACATTTATTTTAAATGTCTTGACTTGCAGCGGTAATAATAAATGAATTACTAAATAACCTCAACCATATTAGTAGACTATGTAGAAGTCTGAAACCAAAATAATTAATAATTAAAATTAAAAATTAAAAGTTAAGCAAATATTTTTAGAATTTTTATAAGTAATAATGATTTACTGATACAAGTCCTACTAATTAACCAAAAGCTGGGGTTCAAGTGGTGGATTCATACCTTCCCATGAGTATTTGTGTGTAAATGGTTATAGCAAACCTGACTGGCATTGGAACTCGTCTCTCTTATTTCCAATTCTGAGCCATTATCCATTATACCACCTGTACATCCAAG